AGAAGCCAGCTAATGGACCAAGTCGAGATATATTTGCCGGCGATCTCGTGGTATCGAAAGAATACCGAGATCGTGCCAGGATACAAGCTTGGTTACAGAGCGTAACAGAAATCGCACGAGGTCACAATCGAAGTAAGTAATAATGGATGCTTTTTAGCACAGTTAAACTAAGGGCACATTAAAACAGTCACTGGTACTATTGGTTATCATAATAATTGTTTTCATCAAACCAATCGTGTTCTCGTGATAAAAGTAAGTCACTACAATATCAAACCGCTATCATTACTTCAGTCAAGGCATTTCCGTTCAGCCCTATCAGATTTTGGTTCTGTTTAATGTTGATTTACAAGTCGGCAAGTTTCTTCAATTAAATTCATGTTCAATTAAGTTCAGCACATGGTCAATTTCTGGTTTCTATGTGGCAAGCTAGTGTAAATCAAGAAATTTGTTTGAGCTCGTAATTTCTTGGTTAGATTAGAGAAGTTTATTGGTGTCTAACGGGGTGGAGTCCGGTTACTTGGCTATACTATATCTGATCAGTCCCGTATTTATTCGTGGATTTGTGTATCTTGGAGTCTGAGCGTTCTTGCCTCAAGACAGTAGAACTTTTAAAATTATTAGCTATCATATTATCGGGCAGGAGGTTGTTTGGTTGCAATATAAAAAATAAAAGAAGCTAATTCGAACATCGAAAAGTGGAAAAGACTGCTCAGAAGAACTAAATCAAGTACTGATCAATTGATCAAGTAAATAATTTTGAAAACAGTGTGAATAGACATAAATGGGAGAAAAATTGATTTATGGATACGATGTGGTTATTTGCCTGCGATTGAGTTTTACGAGAACAATCGGGTACAGGTATCCATGGAGAACGGGAGATGTTAGCATCTCATGGGCCAGTATGTTCATGACATGACATCTCTACAGGTTATGTTTTAACGCGCTGTCTACTGTTCATTTCTATCAACAGTTGTAAGTGTTAGATTAGTGAGACCGTCTTGGTTCCGTTCTCTGTAAATTTATATCCTTTAAATCGACAACTCAGGCATCGACTATTACTTTGTGGTGGTCGATATTTAATATAATCCTTAAACGTTGTATACAGTTCGTCCTGATAACTGTCACTAGCTAACGTCCTAACGGTGTATTAATCAGAAGACGAACACGAGGTGCTGGTCACGTTTATTAATGCACCACTCACAAATCACAAAAATTACAGGTACGCTTAGCAAACATGGAAGAGTAGTACTGAAAAGCAAGCCGCAAAGGCGTGAGCATATGAGTCAAATGAGCGAGCCAAATGAACAGGATTAAAATGTATATATACATAGGGAAATGAATGAATCATCGAATCAATTGAGCTAATAACATTAAAGTTAGCGGAATGAATATATGCGTAGGCGGTAAACAATGCTCAAGCATACATATTCATACAAGCACAACAATAATGCTACAATGGTATAGATAAGTTGTTATTGTACGAATGACTTAGTCCGTTGAACAACAGGCCTTAACCAAAATAAATGTGAACAAACTCAAATGTACGTGACCTGCTGTATAAATTTCTATGATATCCACAATACCCCATTTTGGAAATTACCAATCAAAATCTTTCAGATGACCTTCAAGAAGACTTCACACTGATGAAAATTGACAGCATAAGGGGTTGGGTAAAAGTAAAGATGGAGAGTGGAATGTTCTGTCCAAGAACATAATGACTAAACTAGTTTTTCCACTTAGAAAAGAAGAGATGCGGAAACCTCCTAATGATGAAACTCGGTTGTACGTTGTATACCTTGTAGTCAAGAAAGACATAAAATTGACACATACAGTGTCATAAACTGTGGCTTTGTGTATTAAAAACATTTTTGGGAGAAATATATCACAATATGCATTTGAAAATCGTATTTTAAGGATAATTGCAGAAATGAACAACTTTTATGTTGCTAAATACTATGGTTTTCGTAAACTTGTAGTAACTTACTTTTATGAAGAGAACGCTATTAGTGTGATGAAATCAATTATTATAACCAACTGTACCAGTGATTGTTTTATTGTATCTGTTTGTTTAAGTGTACCAAAAAGCACTCTCTTCCGTTTTTTGTGACTTTGCACGAACTCTCGTACGCTCAGTAGCCTCGCTTGTTGGTTTTGGCACGATCTCGGTATTATTTCGTTACCACGAGATCGCCAACAGGTATATCTTAACTACAACCTTCAACTGCCTCCTGATATTTGGCCTACAGAGGGTCTAACCTGGTAACTGGCACGTAGTCTTCCTGTAGTGTTGATCATTTTCAACAGCGACTGGATGACAACTACAAACTAATACTAATCGGCATTACTAATTCCAAACAAGTTCACTCTTTTTATTCACCTGCATTTCGAACACATCGAAGAGACAATCTGTAATCACACCATAAGGCTTTAATAAAACCCACACTAACGCCTATGGTAGAAAACAAATAAATTTCTGGTAAAACAACGTATGTTCACCGGATTTCTCATAACGAAAATTGTAATTATAGTGATCGGTACTGTTGTTTCACGGTTTTACAAATTATAAGTCGATGTCAATCATCATAAGCTTGCTGACCCTAATGGTTTAGTAATGTCATTCATATCTTTGTGTGCAGCATTTTATCTATGGACACCAAACTGTATCAAGTTTTGTGTGCTTAGAATAAAAGTAAATAAATTAACGGAACAATATCTGATACAAATCCTGCGGACTTGATATTCAGAATTTAGAACAGCATTGACAGATACAGAAACTGATTAAGATGATTGCATAATCGATAAAGAGTAACATACAATTCAAGAGATTTCAAATATGTGGTAGAGTACAATGTAGCCAAAGAGACCATGTTGTTTTCGCATCCTAGACACCTTAATTCTATAGACCTTGCTTATATCGAAGATGAATTTGAGAAATGATCGGATACGTTGCGCGTATACCCCAAAGCTCACCAGTGGCCTCAAAACCTAGGTATGAATTAAACATTACAAGCGCTAACTATGTTCAGAATCAACCAATCAACTTTTAGACGCTTGGCAGATGCTCCTTACATCACTACCAGAATAATGCTGTGATAATGAGAAAACAGGAATTTGCAGTCACTTTGCTTCTTTCCTGCAGTGCCCTGGTGGATATTTACTAACCATTTATCTGCCGTTTTAGAATTTTCATTATATGTTAGCCGGTAATTTCATGACATCGTTTACAGACCATAAACTTCTAATCAAAGCTTTGGTGGATAGCGATTATAGATTCAAGAACTGAATTTATATCATAGTTACCTTTCTACATACAATGCATAAAAGGTAATAACAGATCTGTTAGCGACCGAACAACCAATATTTGGTTGGAACAGCGGACTGACGAACCCAAAATTTATTCGATTAGACCAGACCACGTTCCTCTGTGTAGCTCACAACGCGTTTTTGAGATACTCGTATTATATGATATCAAAACACAAACTCTGTGCTCAATATAAACAGATCTAATTTAGAAAACAGAATAAATCACATCAAAAATACAAAATACCTCAAACGGTACAGCCTGTGCTATACAGTCAGAAGTTTCTCTAACACACAGTGGCGCGCTAAACACTGAAAGAGACAGTTAATACTAAGAGGTTTGATACCTGAGAATCAATAAAATATTCCCAACAAGATGGGATCAAAATATCTATCCGCAAGGATTCCAGCAATCCTTTCAAGCAGACGATCAAGAGGTTAACAATCAAACAATGAACCACGCCGTGACCTTGAGCTTAATCAAACACGGCCTTAATGTCAATGGTCCGGCAACATGCAATGGTAACTTAGGCAACAAAAGATAAGTCTTTAATCAAAATCACATAATAAAGGCTCACACGAGGTAGACTGAAGAACAAAAGATAAGGTTAAATGAGATCGGAACAAAGGTTAAAATACACAACAGGGAGAAGGAACAAATAAATGACAATACTGTTCAATAAAGAGGCTGCAGAGGGATTTTCATCGTTCTCTTTCCGTTACAACTAATGCATTGTCCAAAGTATTAATAAACACTTTCACTTCAGCTTTAATCGACTGCCATAACTTATCAACACTACAAATGCCAGATGTTGAATAATCTAACCTCAGGCTTTCAGTCACAACTCTGCTAATATTAGAAGAAGCGCGATTGTATGCAATCAAAGTAACGCGGGATGCTTAAACAGATAGATCGAAACATTTTATTCCGAAACCAGCGATACTTAGTATCTTTAAAGATACTCACAATACATCGCATCTGGGAACAAAAGCTACTGTGAAATTAATTAATGAGTGTCTTAGATGGCTAAACACACAATAGTACGAAGCGGCCGTCCGGTATTTCCAGGTTTTCCATGGCGATCTAGCTTCAATTGACTCATGATCTCGGCTATTGAAATTACCATAGTATCCACAAAACCCCTTCTGATACTTAACTTAAATGTCTGAAATTAGGCACAAGCATACACAAAATATCAAAATGTCAAGTTGCATTGTCGTACCAGCTCCCCAGTCAGTTGTTTTCACAACCAAGTCTTCAGGTCTCAGCATGTTTATATTGATGTCGTCAGGCCGCTGCTACCATACAAAAGGTCTGAGCGACTTCTTGTATGCACAGACCGACTTATTCACTTCTCAACAGAGTCTACCGAGAGAGTGCTGATAGAAAAGTAGATCTCTGACTATGAAATGCTGACCGGAATCATAATGGACAGAGAGACCTAGTTCAAAAGCTACCTTTCTCAACAACAACATTATAAATCAAGTGAATTTGTAAAACATATGTATATAGTACCATGTACTCAATACAATGAATCTCTGTTTTCTAATTCTGTGTCGGTGGAGCTTGGATAGTGATTTAGTTGGAATGTATACCATAATATGATTACATTTATCTTAAAACACCTTTGTTTACATCGTTAGGAATAAATGAAATTTTGCCGAAACTATATACAAATTCAATGATTTAAAAATCAAAGTCATTTTAAGAACATTTAAATAGCCAATTCAATATTGTATTACAGAACATGATTTGCATTATTTGAAAATATTAGTGAAAAGTCTTTTAAGTTTAATGTTAGTATTTTTGATTGGATAACTAATGTATTTGTAATTCTGTTATTGATTAATTGTTTGTTGATGGGAACATCGTAATTTATGAATGGATGCCAATTTTTTCTTTGTATGAACTGATTTTTCTATTCCATTTTTTGATTTATGATCTAAAGTCCTTTTATACATGTAACTTCTTCGACAATTCACCTAATTGTAAGAAAAAATAATAAAACAAATTTATTTAATCAATCACTTTGAGACTGAATCTATTGCAGAATACCTTCAATCGTCATTACTTCAATTTTCCGAACGTAATACCAAATTCTTGCAACAGTTTAGTTCAGCACAACACAAATCAAATGACAAAAGAGTACACGATAGGAGAGATGAGTTGATGAATGAATGAATTAATTAATTTTAAAAGCGAATATATGAAAACTTGTGAATGGGTTAACAAGCTGTTTAAGCACCGAACATTTAAAAGTGTGGTAACCTACTTTTATCAAATGAACGCGATTGGTTTAATGGAAACAATCATTATTATGACCAATTGTACCAGTGATTGTTTTACTGTACTTGTTTGTTTATCTGTACTAAAGACTTTCTTACTTCCCTTGATTGTGACTTTGCACGAATTCGGTTACGCTCAGTAACCACGCTTGTACTCCTTTGGCGCGATCTCGGTATTCTCTCGATACCACGAGATCACCAACGAATACATCTCGACTACAGCCATCAACTGCCTTCTGATATTTGGCTTACGGGGGATCTTATCCGTTAACTGGCACGTAGTCTTCCTGTAGTGGTGATCATAGTCAACCCCGACTCAACTCCATGCTACAAATGTGTAAGATGAGTCTAGCGTAAACTGTAACTTCTGTTCAGTCATGGATGTTCTTACATTCATCGGAATATATGTATAAATATATATGTAGAAATTATTATCAGCACCTTCTTTCTGTTAAAATTAATTAGATGATTTAGTAAGCTTAAACATATACAAATTGCAAATGAGGATGCTATATATCTTTTGAATTTAAGGTCAATATAACTAAATATACAGACACCTTTTAGCACTTTATTCTCATCAAAACACTTGTGAATATGAAAAGTATTTTTGACGATTTTTGTACAAAATGAGTTATTTCATAATTTCTTTCAACGATAATGAGGAGAAAACCTAGGTTACATCACATCTTGACCTTTGTAAGATTACCAATGAAAACCAGGAGACACTGGACAACTCTTTCATCGTGGTATTGTACTGCTCAATAGTGCTTGTCTATGATCCCATTAGCAAACAAAATTAAAAGTTTTAATTGTTAAAGTGACTACTGAACCAGCGTCCAATAATCTGCATTACTAGGCTCAATCAATTCTTCATTTTATTCTTCCAGATTATTAATGCCTATTTATATAAGATCAATTCATGATACAGGCTATGAGATTTAACAAACCGCACAAATACACTTTCCACCTTATAGAAACCAAATGATTTCCGTAATTCAGAATAACAAAGAATGATCCCAATAAAGAAATTTTTTGTATTTTTTTAATTAAGTAATTTTTCTTGATATTTAATTATGGAAATATGATACAAGGAAAAGAGAATAAATTTTTCCAGAGAATTCTTCTTAGGGTTAGAAATGCTGTAGTTAAAACACATAAAATAAGAAAGTTGCATTTAAAAAAGACAGAGATATTCATAATGACTAGCTCTAATTCATTTGGTGTTGTTCTACTTGTAGCTTCTCATTATTATTTAGGACGGCAATTGATCAGTCTCTTGTTGGCATATGTGCATCCTATGCGGATTGCCTCAATACAGCCTTAATTCACAAGTTTTTTTAAACAAAGATGGATAGTGGCTAGCAATGGAATCCAGGATGCGCGTTTCATCCTGTTTGGGACTGGCCACCTGGATGTACCTGCATCTCAGACATGGTGTTCACTTCGGGACTAGAACACAGTACCGTTCGCTTCAAACGTCATCGCGTTATCCACTTATCTACTGATTTGTTGTTGTACTTGTATCTTCCCATTGTTAGTTAAGACTGCAATTGATCAATCTCATGTTGGATATGTGCATCTATGTGATTGCCTCGATATTACTTTAAGTCACAAGCTTTTTTTTGTAGCTTAGGTGGATGATTTTGATGGAGTTTTGTTCTCTGAGCTGGATGGTTTGGTCGACCAAACCATCCAGCTCAGAGAACAAAACCACATCAAAATGAATAACTCATTAAAAACCATACTATTCATATGTAACATATACCCATTAAATGAAAAACAAAAATGCTAGATATTGCACATTCATTGAATATCATGAAGCAGATACACTACAAATTTACACACATAATAACCTATCCATCTTCTATTCTAAATTATTAAATTCTTAAAATTGTTCGCTATACAAATTTTGTTATATGTAACTATTTCAAACTATTCTTTACTATCCCTCCACTATTAAGTCTTTATTGATTCTAAGGAATAATAAAGTGGAAAGGGAAGAATTAATTCATTCTAAAATCAATGAAAAGTGTTTCATTTTTGTGACCAGTGGAGGCAGTTACACACTAAATATAATGGAAGACAGTTGCACAATATCATGGATTAGTCAGTTACACATTGTTACCGTTGGATGCATGCGTTCGCACACGAGACCGAAGGTCCTGGATTCCATTCTCGTATGCCGGATCGTGTATGTGCACTATAAAAGGGTCACATACTAGAACAAAACGACTATTCAGTACTTCCCGATTTTCAATGGTGGTCTCACATTGATAAATTCATCATTTCAATCAAAACTCAACAATCTTCACAATTTTATACTAATAACTAACACTTCTCGGTTGCCCACACCGTAGAAAGGTTCTTCTGGAGGTACATGAAAACGAAATAGGATTAAAGATGACCTTAGTGACCTGAGAGTGTGACCGCAGTGCCCAAGGGACAACTGCTTGAGGTCAGTCACACACGACCGTACTTGTTGAAACCTTACCATCGGAGACGGATATCCGTAGGATAAATTAAAGTGTGCAATTTTAGGGTCGACCTTTTCTAACCCCACCTCTACTTATGAGAAGGCAGCATCTCTATTATGCTGGTTGCCTAGAGGAAGCACATTACTGCTGTCACACTTCTGTACAGTCAGCAGTATTGTAGTGAGCAGAAAACGGGTGGGGACAATCGAATGTATTTAACGCAAAATTACGGAACTTGTTAATAAAATCTAACAACCATATAGTAAATGCTCAATTTGCAAAATGACCATCGATTGTCCCAAAATAGCCCAAACTTCATTGTTCTTTTATTTTCATATAAATCGCATTCCGTTTCCATTCTTTACTGTTCGATTCTCTTGTCTCTCTGCTACCAAACCTTCTGTTCACGTCTAACATCATATACTACTTATGTCAATATAAGTAGCACACACGACAGTATGACTTCATCCTCAAACTTTGGATTTGATGCTTTTAATCTTACCTCTCTTCCACTAACCTGTCTAGCATAGTACAACCTTGAGGAAAAATTGTTCCAGCCAGCATAGCTCGATTGGTTCATCACAATAGGTAAGCCCAACCATCACATCAAGGTAGCAACAACAGTTTCACACTGATGCTCCCAAATGCCCAGGTACGGCCGAGAGTGGGGAGACTCCACTCTCCCTCGAAAAATGCTCTCACATGGCCACGCGTATATAGCCTCTGCCAGAGAAGTCCAACTCACTGCCTTCTCGTAGCGTGGGTGTTGTTTACGAAAATGAGAGGACGGAAAGCGAATGTCCGGCGCCTTAACAGGATTTCAAACCAAACCAATGGTGTACATGGGCTCCAGTATCCTAAAGGAACAAATGGCGTATGAATCAATCGTTGGTCACCGGCTACCATAAGACTACATTTCCTTACGATGCTCCACTGCTTTATGGATCAGACCTTTAGGTCGAAGGTTCGGGGGGCACCCGAACAGTATCACACCCCTCACACATATCAAATGAGATCTGTGTGACGTATATGTATTTGGTGCCTCCTTGTACCAATATCTATATGTTCAAATAAATAACTAATGAAACCAAACTTATCCAAATGAGAAGATTGATAAATAACTAAGGAGATGTAAGCAACAACAGTCAAGATGATAAATACATAAATAAAAATTTAAGAAAAATAAAAAAAAAAAACAAATTGTTTACCTGAAATATTGATGCAACTCTATTAGCTGTATTCATTAAATAATTAATATAATTTTTTGATAAACATAATTTTGTTATTTGTCCTTTATTATTAGTTAATAATGATGAATTATTATAATAATCATAATCATAATAATCATTATTATTACTATTACCATTACTATTATTACTATTATTATTATTATTGATTATTGAATATTGATATAATTTATTGAATTCAATTAAATTTAATAAAAATTGTGATAATACAATTGATTTACCACCTAAACGTTTTTCTTCTAATTTTTTTAATTCATTTAATTTACATATTTTATTTCTTAATGTTGATCTTGGTATCCCATATAAATTAGCTGCTTTACGTGTACCTAATTGACCAAAACAAATAGCTTTTACAGCTTCAGATAATTCATTTTGTGTATATGAATGTTTTATTGATTTATTGAAATATAATTGATTAGTTGATAAGGGTTGATTATGATTATTATTGATTTTTTTAATTTGGCATGGTGATAATAATTTATTTGTTATATTTAATGAATAATTTTTTATTTTAGATAAAGATTTTTTTGATAGAAAATTATTTGAATGAATAGAATAGTCATTTGATGATAGTTTAGTAGAAGTTTCATATGGATATATCATTGGCATGTTTAATATATTTGCTTGAATTAAATGATCATCTTTTTTTAAATGTTTATCATATAATAAATATGTAGAAGAATTACAATGAATTTTTAATGATTCATTGAATGTTTTATTGGATTGATTTAGTTGTTCACTTGGTAACTCTTGTTGTTGTTCTTGTTGTTGCTGATGTGGTTGTTGCTGTTGCTGTTGTTGTTGACTGTAAGAATAAAAATTGTAATCAGAAAAATTGGATGAAATCATTTAAAGTTATTTAAAATGATAGAAAATAATTGAATCATGAGAAAAGGATTAAATTAAAACCACTTGTAATTAGCAAATTAGCACTGTTATATTATTTTGTGGAGATAATAATAACAAACTTATTTTGCAATTACGTTATGATACTATTTGTTATATCCTAGTGAAGATTAAATCACGGTTAACTTCTGAGACTCATTCTGGTCATATATAATAAAGGGCGGCCTGCTTGAGCATCTGGGCTACCCGTTCCTGCCATCTAGATATTTCAAAAAGTTATCTATTTTTGTTTGTTTTAATATATCACTATGCTTATTAATCGCATGATGTATTCTGCTGCGTTTCTGAAAAGTGTACAACCTTTCGTTGTCAAGGTTACAAAAAGCTCAATAAGAGACAATGTGGTTGCTGGCAATATACAACGAAAAGAATGCACATTATTCAGATGTTCATTTATTGAACCGCTAACATCTAACTGGCGATCACTCAATATTTATCGCCAGGACCGACCAAGAAGAAAGAAAAGGAAACTTGTCGAAATACTTTACGCTGAGAATTTTATATTGCACCAAAAATATGATATTGAATAAAGCTGAAAAATATAAAAAAATATTATATATATATATATATATATATATATATATATTGCAGGTGAGCTCCTATTTAAGATGAAACAACTGTCTAGTAAATCATAGTTTCTAATGGTTACCTAACTGTTATATCCTGGCGAAGATTAAATTACGAGTAACTTCTGAGACCTAATAATGGACTAATATTATTTATATATTCTTATGGTATAACTATTCAGTAACCAGATTGTGTATATTTACATTCATCTTATTATAAGCTTCGTTTTGATCTATACATCATTATTGTACGATATATTGTTCTTAAGTTATATTCAGTTTAGTAATTACTGTCTCCCACGTTCACAGCCACTTTTTGGTTTATTTGTGTATGAATTTTATTTCCTAGTTTATGCAGTGATGGGGTCTGTTTGGTTGATATATAAGCCCAGTATGTCTGAAACAAATGATTCGTATAGTAGAAGCTGGTATTGGTGTTCTGGACTCAACTGGATGCGCTAGGGGAACATAGGACCAATAAGGACGCTAGGCTGCTTATACCGGTCGAACGTCATTGGCGAGAACATTGTATAAGTCGTATTTCGACCGGCGGATATATCACGTGATAACAAGCTGAACTTTAAGTCACAACACTATTTACATTTTCTTTCATTCTACTTTCATGCTACAGATAACTGTAAAAGGTGTTTAAAATTGCATGCCTTGGAATATTTCCTCTTCTGTTTTAAATCTCATGTAGTATGACATAATGATAACTGCTTGTAAATACATTGCTACACACATATATATACACATATACACTTTTCTTGTTCTCACTTGCACGTTGTTACAATAAAATATTTATTATTTACATTTATAGACTACAGCTATACTTCCATTAAATAGTCCATATGGATATATCAATGGAATTATAACAATCTTCACTGAAATTATTAATCACTCATAATTATGGATTATTACACTAAATGTAGCTGGAACACATCAAGGCCTACCAAGTTAAGTAACATCTCGTAACTTTTCTTGGTGTTTATAATATATATTTAATATCGGAAGGGGTTTTGTGGAGATTGTAGTAATTTCAACAGTTGAGATCATGAATCAATCGAAGCTCTAGACCACCATGGAAAACCTGGAAATGGCAGTCCAGTGCTTCTAGGTTTACAATGGTGGTCTAACATCATTCGGTTCACGACCTTAGTCAAAAATGTTTGCTAAGAACTTTAATTGATAATTTATGACACAACTGTGGATGTAATCTGAAGTTCAAGAATGGGAGATGAGAGTATAATTTATGGACGATCTTTAAGCGACATTAAAATGACCATGGGAATATCCACCTACTTACTAGGGCTAAATGATCGTTATAAAGCAGTATGAAGAGGAAGGATTATGGTTTACAGTTGATGGTTAGGGTTAGGAATTAGACTTACGGTTTTCATCACGAAGTGACATCAGTTAAGATGCCAGGACGTTATTTAGACAACTGGGTGAATGAATTTCGCGCCACAATCCAAGACCTATCATCTTAAATCTGATTGATTCGTCCATAAATGAGTAATTTTTTTATGTAGAAACAAATATAGTCATATACGCCAGTCATAATCAACCATTTATGTATGTATGAAATAATCGTGTTTGTTAGACCATATTATTCTTTCTTGACAGTAGTTTGGCTGTGCTTTGACTGTCCTCACAATTTCCCTTTTACATACTACGTCTATATACCATCCCGCGGCGAGACTATAATTTATGGACAACCTTTGAACGAATCTTAAGCGACCTTGAGAAATGTTAGCCAATCAGCAAACAGTCAGTATAAAGTAAAGATATATTATACAAAATCAAAGAAATAAAGTGGATACACTTCTTATACGTGGTTCAAAAACTTGTCAAGGTTAGAAAGAGGTTCAGAGGTTCTGAAATTGTAATGCATGCAGTAGAGGAAATCATTCACACGGCTACAGAATAGTCGACCACTGGAGCCATGATAAAGTCTCGAAAACTCTTTCAGCCTCGACCACATAGCTTCATTATGTTTGTGTGCACTCCGGTTGTTGAGTGCACAAAATGCTACTTGTGGATAACGACACGATGCGCATAACCAAGTCTATGTAGGAGTCTGTACGCTCTCCAAACATCTGTATATATTGTAGTACTTGGCTGCAGCTAGTGTTACTGGTGCATTTATTATCCAGTTCTCAATAATTGTCATAATTCGCCTTAGTTAGGAATTATCTATAGGGTTTTCATCACGAACTGACTTCAGCTATAATGCCAGTAATTTATTTAGCCAAATGGATGAAAGGCTTTTGTACCAAAATCCAAGATCTGTTATCTTATACCTGATTAATTTGTCCACAAATTATAGTCTCACCGTTTTATTTGTTATTGCCGCTCAATTATCCCTTTTTGTATAAAATTCTCTGTGAACCGATCGTACGTTAACGTTATTCACTGAAGTTAGCGCTGTGACCTTGAAACCTATCAAACGCTTCTGATTAGCTCGTCCATAAATTAGAGTCTCACCTATTTTGCTTGCTTAAATATGATTTCGTCCCATATATTTTCTATAATTAAAAAGCTTATCTAATTAAAGAAATACAATTTTGACAAAGTAATATAAACTGACCATATTGATTTATTGACAATTAAATCTGTCTTCAATGATAAATCTAATGGTTCTTCATTTGTTTCAATCATTGTCAACATTATATTTTGAATATATTGTTCATAATAGAATTGATACCATTTATATAAATTTGATAAATTAGATCTCATATTGAAATATTGAAATTGATTCAATGTAGATAAAAAGTACTCGAAGAAATTCACTTTAGTAAATGAACAATTACAATCTATGATGTAATTTGATGTATTAATAATAGGGAAAGATTTTTGAACTTCAACAAATTGATTCTTTTCCAAAGGATTAGGGTTATATGAAATAAATGACTTATAAGGTATCATATTACAATTGAATGAATGATTCCATCTATCTATTTATTGGAAAACAAAAATCAAAATACATTTTTTGCATGAGTTGTTTGAATCATTCTATTGCCATTTAAGATTGTAAATGATCAGTTTCTTATTAAGTAGTTGAATTCATGGGTCAGTTGAAGTTAGACCATCATGTAAAACCTGGAAATACTAGACGGTAGTTTTGTACTAGTATGGGAATCCTCAGCAGCGTGCATCTACGATCATATGCTCACTAGTGACGGTATCCAAGAGGGATTTCCTGGAGTTCTAGTGAGGAGCAGTGACCAGTGGAGTCCAACGAAATCTGCTGTGAGATATCGGCTTACTGAAGACAATGGTGGACGGTCGCGGAATTTCATGGATTGGTTGAAGTTAGACATGAAAACCATTGGATGCAGGCTCAGTTGTCTAATGGTTAAGCGCTCACGCGCGAGAGTGATAGGTCCTGGGTTCGAATCTCGCGAGAAGTGGGATCATGGATGCGCACTGCTAAGGAGTCCTATATTAGGACGAAATGACCGCCCAATGCTTCCAGATTTTCCATGATGGTCTGGCTTCAATTGACTCATGAATTCAACTACTAAATTATCATAATATTCACAAAACCAGTCTCTGATTATAATCATTATCTTATTGTCATATGTTTATCCTTTGTGAATTGTCTCGATATTACTTTAAGTCACAAGCATTATAAGTACAAACTAGTGACTATCTGGACTTAGTAGTTAAGTAGATAATACCATGGCGTTTGAAGTGGAAGGTACTTGGTCCAAGGTTCAGAGTGAAAACCAACTCTGTAATTCAGGTTCATCTAGCTGACGAGTCCCATATATGACGAAACGTCTGTCCTGGATTTCACTACTTATAACATTAAAATAGTTTGTCTGTTCACATTATTTGAGTTATCAACCATATGCAGACAACTTATAAACTTTCGTCTCTAATCGCTTGAACACGTTTTTTTTAAACATAACAACATTTGTTGCTGACCACATTAGTTCTAATAGATTCACAATATGCTCCACTTCTCCTACAACCGCTAACTATTTTAAATCAGTCGCTTACCGATATATTGATAACCTATTAAATATGTCTTCGAAATTCTTTGCTTATGACTTCTGATTTCACTAGTTGCGTACGTTTTGTTTATAGAAAGTGTTACTGGTTAAGGTGTTGTCAAACTCTAAATACTTGTGGCATCTTCACTTCTCATTCCTTATAGTAATCTATTTTTCAGGATTCGTCTATCTAGCTCATATATGCTGTATATATTATTGTATCGGTATTTCATCTCTTACGATATTATATGTTACACATATGAGATAAAGTAGTTCCCATTTTATACTATTGTATGTGTGTATGTATGCATGTATGTATGTATGTATGTGTATGTATGTGTGTGTGTATGTATGTATGTATGTATGTATGTATGTATGTATGTATGTATGTATGTATGTATGTATGTATGTATGTATGTATGTATGTATGTATGTATGTGTGTGTGTGTGTATGTATGTATGTGTGTATGTATGTATGTATGTATGTGTGTGTATGTATGCATGTGTATGTATGTATGTATGTATAGAAAGAATAAAGAGAATAATTCAAAACTTTTAATTCTTAACTCACCATTTTTATTTTCCCAAATATTTAATTCAGAAATATTTGATATAGGTGTACTAAATGCTAAACTATTGAATTCATTGGATTGTACTGAATTTTGTAGTAACTCATATTCATATTTATAATCAAGATCTTTATGATTATTCATGTTATTATTTTGTTCAATAGATGAATTCATTAATTGAGACAAATAATTAACATTTAAAGATGATAAATTACCTGATAGTGTTGAACCTATAAAATAGAAATATACCATAAATGTTCATTATATTACTGATGGAATTTAATTTGACTAATCTAGATGATGGAATTGTTAGGACCCGAGAAACATAATGGATGGTAGCTTTGGGATCCTTTTATGGACCAATACTAAACGTATATTTCTATTGTATAATTATTAAGTAACTAAACTATGCATATTCATATTCCTCTTATTATAAGCTTTATTTTGACCCATAAACTATTATTATACGTTTACCATTTGTGAGTTATTCCCAGTATATTAATTACTACCTCCCTCATTCACTGCCACATCTGGCTAATTCTTGTACGAATGTTGTTTCATATTTTATTGGAACATTGTTGTTTGCTTGAATGGTATATAAACAGAGTATGTTTGAAATACATGATTCATATTGCAGAGGCTGAGAGTGGTGTTCTGGACTTAACTGGTTGGGCTAGGCGGAAAGCAGGGCCAATCAGAACCCTAGGCTGCTCTCACATGTTTTATGCATCTTTGTTCCGATCGATAAGTCACTGCTCTCTAATAGGCAGTCACAAGTTATAACAGTAATAAAAAGACGTAGATTATCAGAACTTTTTCTTGTTACGCTATCTAAAGGACTGATTACTTTAAATTGTCTAATTTAAGTAGTACAATTTCAGATTTTATAGAATAGTTTAAAAAGTAAAAGTCATTTAGATGAAAATCTACCAATATTTAATGAAGACTAGTAAAAAACATCCAAACTATATGAGATGAAATATTGAAATCAATTCTAGAACTAATCAGATTTTTTAATCTTTAACGTACAGATTAATTATCATAATTAAACAGTTGAATTCATTAGTCGATGTAAGCTAGACCATCATGGAAAACCTGGAAGCACTGGACAGCCGTTTCGTTTTAGTGTGGGACTCCTCAGTAGTGTGCATCCACTATCCCGCCCCCCTGTGAAATTCGAACCCAGGACCTATCAGTTTCACGTGCAAGCGCTTAACCTCTAGACTACTGAGCCGGCATCCAAGGGTCTTAATGTCTAACTTCAATCAGTCCACGAAATTGAGCCACTGTCAACCATTGTCTTCAGTGAGTTGCTATCTCACAACAAACCCGGTTGAACTTCACTGGTCAATGCTTCTCACCAGAACTCCAAGAAACACCTGTTGAAACTAGTCGTTAGTGAGCAGTGAGATAAAAGTTCCTGGGTTCGAATCCCACGGGTGAGATCGTGGATGCACATTATTGAGGGGTCCTATATTAGGACGAAAGGGCCATCCAGTACTTCCAGGTTTTACATGATGGTCTAGCTTACATCGACTCATGAATTCAACCATTAAATTACTACAATCTCCACAAAACCCCCTTTTCTGATAATTATTATAAGTTTGTAATTATTTTGCTACCTATTTGTTCTAAAATCAAAACAAATTAAAATGTCCCATTCGTGCCAACGAATAAAAATGACAGGAATTCAGAAAAGAAATTTTTCATTTCGATGGAATCCCTTACTTAAACTTTATATTCGTACTTTTAGTTGTATGGTAAATATTTCGTTCTATAGAAGGATAAAAAAGATTACATCATAAAGTGACTTAACAACTTTTCATGATTATTATTATGACTTTGATGTTTTTCGTTTTTTTTTTTCGATATCTTCAAAGTTAAGTTTATGGGTTGATCCAAGCTAGACTATCACTGAAAACCTGGAAACATTGGACGACCATCTCAACACTTGTTACATTTGCCAAAGGTATAAACATTTCGTGTTTTTGTTCAACAAATCAGTACGTTCTAGTAAAATTGTTTTGTTATCACATAGCATTTTGATCTTCAATTACAGAATGAATTAGTAAGGGTTAGTAACTCTCGTTTAGGACTGACAGTGATATATTTCTATTGAGATATATGAATCCTGGACAGTTAGTAAGTGAAGTTGATAATGTTCAGTCCTTAATATCAACAATGGAAGTCACAAGCTCTTACAAAAAGCTTCCTATCCGTTGAACAATTAAGTAACTACTTGAACTAGTTAATTCAGTGATGAATATATTGAACAAATGTGTTAGATCCAAGTTTCAGTATAACACCTCAACATTAGGATGCAAAAGATACGTCCAAGTAATGAGTTCGGAATAAGATAAAGGATATATCATGAATGCCATTGTTAGTCTCATATAGAATATATTAACTAACTTAACATTTTATCACTTAAATTAAAAAAAAACAATTTTCTTATTTCATTCAATCCCATTTTACTTCATCACGTTTCATATCAAAGTAAATCATTGATATTTTCTACTATATAAATTATTCCCAAATAATCTCTATGGGTATTTCATTATATTCATCCCTATTCATTAGTTTTGTTCAATCATAGATTTTCTCTAAACATTATTATTACTAATACCAACCACTGAGTTTTGTATAAGGTTTATATACATTTGTTTTGTTAACATGGAATCAACTGTTTCCATAATAATAAGAATAATAATAATTAGTATCCGTCTAATATAGGTTACATAGGCTATAAGAATTCAGGTTACATAGATACAATTTTGTTCAAAAAATTTACAAAAAAAATGTTTTCATAAATGTAAATTTAATTATTATCATAGATGAATAATTAGTTTTACCAGTAGTCTTTTAAATTAAAAGAAGTTGAAGCAATTTAATTTTTGTAGCTTTATATTTACTACTTAATAAATAATAATATTAGTAGTAGTAGTATTTTCAGTAGTATAAATTGTCATTAAATTCAATACTATATTCTCAAACCTAAACATTTCCATATTAAATAAGTTGAGATTAGATAGTGGTTGGAGGAAGTCGACAGAAAACCCTGTTGACTACTTCCAACCACCATCTGATCTCAATATATATTGCTCGCAGTGTCGAGTCACCTAGACCGATGGCCAGATTGCAACATGGCCGATAGCATTCGATCTGCACTAAATAAGGACTTGACACACATGACATTGATCACCACCTAGTGATCAATCAATTGTGATATTAAATAAGTACATGAAACAGATTTTTTTTTAAATTCTAAAGTTTGTCTTTTTCTATATCATGATTGATGTGAACAGAGAAACAAGAAGCTTTGAAAAACTGCGGAAGCTATTTTTAATGACGTTATTTCAGTTAATTCAAAGTTTGTAAAACACTAGCACTTATTTTTTGTCTCTAGTCTATTCTACAAAACATAAGTTTTCGTTTGATGTATGATTCACTGTCATAGCACTTTTTGTTCCAAAGCTATTGTAATTTAAACATATTATTTTGTATTCTATTTTCTACTCTAATCCCCAGTTATGGACATAATTGTATTTTCAGAAGGGGTTTTGTTGAGATTTTAGTAATGTCAGTAGTTGAAATCATGAGTCAATTGAAGCTAGACCACAATGGAAAACCTGGAAGCATTGGACGGCCATTTCGTTTTAGTATGGGATACCTCAACAGTACACATCCACAATCCCACTCCTCGCGAGATTCGAACCCAGGACCTATCGGTCTCCCGCGCGAACGCTTAACCATTAGACCACTGAGCCGGCATCCAACGGTGTTAATGTTGAACTTCAACCAATCCACGAAACGGCGCACTGCTAGGGAGTCCCATACTAGGACGAAACTGCCGTCCAGTTCTTCCAAGTTTTCCATGGTGGTCTAGCTTCAATTGACTCATAGTTGTATTTTCCTAATTATTATACTTTGTGGTCGGGCTAGTCATCTATGTATTCATATATCATTTTACACCAATCTGAAATCGGGAACCAGATCCGAATTGGAAATAGATCGAGTAGTGTTCCAGTTAACTTGTCTTCTCTCACTTGCGTGCTTGTCAGCCAATCAAGTGATAGAATAGTTTTCTTCTATCTACCCCACTTCGAACTCACGTATACTAGTCTCAAGTTTAAGCCGGCCAACCTATTGCGTCAAAGTCTTCATTTAGATTAGATAAGTTATCCACAGCACCAAAAGTGGGTAGACAGACCAAGGACGTAACAATGAGAAAACATATTTTCTAGTTATTGTATTACAAAAAGAACTATGTAATAACCATTTTGAATGTATGAACAAACTGCTTACATGTAGAATAATAACTCACTTGTATCTATTGTAATACAATTTAAACTTGTCATTAAATTATTCTTGTTTAGATGGAAAGATTCACTAAATTCTAGGGGTTTGTCAGTGTAAATAACTTTTTTAAAGAGAACAAAATAATTAACCAGTATTGTAATGATGTATAGTATAAAGATAATCCAAACAACAAACGAACAATTTGGCGGTCTGCCTGAATATCTGGGCTACCTGTTCCTGTCATTTAGGTTTTTCAACAAGTTATCAGTTTTTGTTTCTTTTAATACATAATCATGTCTGTTTATCGTTTAACCTATTCAGGTGAAAAGTGTTCAACTTTTCGTTCTACAAGTTACGAAAGACCCAATCAGAGATATCGTGGTTGCTAGTACTATTCAGCAAAAAGAATATACACTATTTCGTTGTCGATTTGCTGGACTACTAACTTCTAGCTGAGGATCACTCAATATTTATCGTCAGTATCGACCAAGAAGTAAGAAACGGAAACTTGTTGAAATACTTTGTGCTGTCAATCCTACATTGCACCAAAAATACAATACTGAATGAAGCTAATACTAATAGTAATAATAACAAACCAATAGTAACCTCGATAGCGCGCACCCATGACCACGTAATTAAGAATCAAGCCCAGAACCTTTGGTCTCATATGGGGACGCTTAACTTATAAACCATTGAGTCAGTCACAAGTATTTAGCTTTCAGATGAAATTCTCAGAGTTCTTGTGAGAAACAGTGATCAGTCGAATTCAACTGTTTCTAATGTGAATACGGATTGCTGGAATGTCTTATACTAGGACGAAACGGCTATTTAGTTTCTTTAGGTCCCAGTTGTCGTCTAATTTAGATTGGTCTGTGATTTCAATAAAATTCAATAATCTCCAAAACCTTATATCGATAAATAATTTAATTAA